CTGTGATGCTACAGCTGTGTACCTGGAAAGCTGCTGATCAAGGAATTAGTTAGGAAGCAGATTCTGTAAATGGAATTGGATGAACTGAAGATATGGAGGATAAATGTATATGATTGTATTGAAGTGCTTAATGCAAAACAATTGCTTATGAGCTGATTTGGATGGAAACAAAGAATTGACACAACAATTCCAAGGCTATTTGAGAGGCCTTGGTTCTCTCCACTATTTTCTCAACAACTCAAATGGATGATCCTCTAATCCCCCTCCCCATCACATTGATAAGCAATCCCTACTGCAACTAACTGACTTATTACACTTTTGACCCTCTTTCTAACTGGCTAATGAACCTTCTGGAATAACAGATGACATGGCTGCAATTATGTTTGTGTTTCTATCCTCCTTTTTCCCATCTTGCATATGTGAACCGGACTGGGGTCTATCATCATCCCAAACTTCTGATTTTGGGGTCCTTATGCAATATCTTGGATTCTATATTGTAGATGCTACTAATGTGAGTCGCGCTATGTTTCATAAATTTTTGCATTGTCCATATTTGGTTCTGATCTTCAATATCTTTGTTTAGTGTTTCGTCTTCATTAAGCATTGAGAGCTTTTTTTTGATACACAAGAATAACATTTTGAGTTATTGATTAATTGCTTAAGATGAATATGAATTAAGAATCATAGGTTGACAAAATTTGAGCTGAAGATTGAATCTCGATGGAATGATAGTTAATTAGTAAGACAAGCTCTATTTAGATAAATCTACAACGTAAATTAGATCGAGGTAAATTCTTAAATGTTACTGGAGTGCAATCTAGAATACTGAAGCATTTTAGTTGAGCTTATATTCGATAATGTTTTTGCCTTTGATGTACAAGAAAGGATGCTACTTGAGTGCCACGATTTTGAAAGTGTGCAGGCTTTCTTGGAGCTCTTTGTCTAACAAATTGTTAATATTAAATCTATGCTATTAGCTATCTAATTCCAACTCTGTTAAGTCATTAGACTTCCTGTTCCAACACCCCATATTCTTTTCAGTTTAGCTGTGGCTTCATAATGGTTTCTTCTGCTATTTTTCTTTTGGGGCTGTAAATTTGAAAGGTTAGTACTTAATCCTTTTGGCTTTTGACTTGGTATATTTTAGAATCTCTTGCTTGAATTCTTTACATAAGAGCATCTTGGGGTTTTTTTTTTTTTTTGTTTTTTTGGGGGGGTGTTTTGACCAATGAGTTATGTTTACTCCTTTTTTTCTTTCATGTCAAGCATGCTTTCCTTAGTAATATTCTTATTTTTTGACATTTTCTCTTATGCAGTTTAAATTCCACTGGTGCACCTGGGAAGATGCTGATTCCCGATCCATTTCTGTTAGCAATGTACTTTCTCATATCCTGATCCTAAAGCTTCAACCTGATGGATTAGAAATTCTTTCTTTAAAAGTACTCACACAGTTCCCTGTATTTGGTTCATTTTGTTGCAACTAAGGATAGCCTCCCAATCTAACTAATGTCTCTGCTTGAAAGCCCATCCTGAAATATTTACATATGCAAGTAAGCTTATATGGATTTCGTGAATCAAGAATCAGCTGAGCGTGCTGTCTTTGGATGGCACCTTATTTATTGCACTATGAAAGAAAACGGTAGAGGTATCACACTAGACAGAAGAAAGAATTTTACATAAATGACACTAGCACTAAAATGAGAGTTTATATCTGCACTTTCAAAACTGTTCACATTTTATTCTTTCAAGAGGGTGAGATTTTTTATTTGAATGATGGTCCGAGTTTCCCCTGTTTGGTGCAGAGATAGGAGTTACTTTTGTTTATATTTTGTATCATTCTTGATGTAAATGTCAATGATTCTTCAATGTCAAGGAATTTCTATTGATGAATATCGGATTTGAGTTATGACTGAACAATTCTCTAGGGAATTATTCATAACATAGATGAAAATGATTCAAGGCATAAATAGTGTAGGCAGATGGTCGCAATGAACTTGTTAAAGGATTACGACTTACATAATTTAAAGCTTTATTGCGTTATTGTTTTGCTGCTCATTGCGTCATTTATAGATTATGAGTAAAATTTTCTCATGGCTGCAAGGTCAATCTTGTCAAAAATTAAAACCTGCTTCCTGGTGATGCATAATATGTATGAGAATAGTTGTAGCTGTTTTTTGGCATGATATCACTTTAGTTTTGTGCAGCATTTTCTCATCAACATCTTCTATATGAAGGCTTGTCTTGGAACTTTATTTACGTGACTCTTTGGCATTAATAGTTTTTTGCCATTCTTTTTGTAGGAGACTAACAGCATTTAACTTGGAGCATTTATCATCTGTTCATGTTTATACGTAGTACAATATTTGTTTTTTGGGGAGAACTCGCAAAAGGCATTCACCATTTAGATTTGTTGTTGCACACCTGTGCATCTTTATTGTGGGCTGATGGCTTTATGGTGCACCTCAATCACATCGGAACGAGTCGGACTTTAAGAAGCTCCCGTTTGGTCTCCGTTATTATAATTTTTGGAATCGTGTTTTTTTGGAGAATATGCGGTTGAAAAAGAAAGAAAAGTTTTTGATTTATGTATAATATTATTTTATTGTAGAATGTGTAGTTAAAAAGAAGAAAGAAAAATATATTATAATGGGAGCCCAAATGGGGGCGAAATGTTTGGTGAGACATCACCTTTTGTGTTCTTGTATTTAGAATGCGGAGTAGGGTTAAATTGCTCAATACATTCTTCTTTGCAAAATCCCTATTTTAAATGGTTGTATTTAGTGTATTGAACTTGTAATTGTAATGAAAATTTATTCATTTTCAGGAGGAAGCATCAGCACTAGCGATACTGGAAGCAACTCAAGTAGCTCACATATGTTGGAACAATTCGAAAGCAGTATTAGTTAGACTAAAATGGAACTGTTATAGAAACTGGAATGCTCCAATACCAGTTTGTTGTGAAAAGATAAGAAATTAAACCACAATATTTAGCTTGAGGTGTTGGTTCTCAAGTGTAGATTTACAGTTTATAAATAGTATTTGGAGGATTAAAGTTTGTTTTGGTTGACACTGAAATTTGAGTTCTAGAATAGGGCTCTTGTGGCGTCGTTGACTCATCCACTGTGAAACTGATTACTTGTGTGATTAATCTTGTTTGGTTTAGTCTTGTTGTAGCTGACTTCACAATTGACCTTTTCTGGATATCTTTGGCATAGATCTACGGTTTTCAACCAGTTGTATTTTTATATACCCAAAGGTATATTGGTTTTCAGAGAAGTATCTCTCTTTCACACCTTGAGTGGATTTCCTAGTTCCATTTTGGACAATCAACATAAGAGATGAACATCTTAGCAATTGTATTCTGTGTGAATTTATATCCATTTACATGTAAAGTTTACTTCATGGTGTTAATGGGTCATTAAATCTTATTCCAAATGTTCCCTGACCCTTGATTTTGTTGGTTAACTTCTTTATTGAAGAAAAAAAGTGTTGCTCTTTAGAAATTTAAATACATTGTATTGACACATTGAAATTCCATGTGGCGGGTGATTTACAAGCAGTTTTGCTAAAATGCCATTTTTACAGAGCAAAATGGTCAATGTAGACTTCAGCTTATGCATCTTATCCAATAATAGTAGTTAACATTTGGTCTGCTCATTCATATTTAATCATCAATATTTAGTTGATGCATTGACCTCCTTTTGCTGATTGATGATGCAAGATAGTTTATAATTGGCTAGTTTATTGCTTTTTGCAGACAAGAGTTCTATCGATTGCGACTAAAATGTCCATAGAGGACCAACTGCATTACAAGCGTTAGTTTTCCTCCCTTTTTCCTTTACAAGGTTACAAGCACTAAAGAGCAATGGGATTTTGCAGGGTTTTGATAAAGAGTGATGAGGAGAAGCGATCTGAACCAGAGAACAAAGATGGTGATGAAACTGAGGATGATGGTGTAGATGGAGGTGAAGGTGAATGTGAAAATTAGGATGCTGATGCAGGGGAGGAAGGGGATGATGTGTCAGGCGAAGAGGACGATGAAGAAGAAGAGCCCGAGACAAATGCTGTTGGTGGAAATAAAGAACATGACGATGACGATGATGATGATAATGACAATGACAATGACAATGACGAGTTTGATGATGATGATGAGAATGACAAGGATGCAGACAAGGATGTAAATGAGGAAGAAGAGGATGAGGAGATTCTCCACCTACCAGCTAAAAAAGAGGAAATGAGTTCGCTCAGTATTATTCTGCTCGTTTTCGACAAGAATTATATGATCAGCATGGTAAGAAACCTAGGAAAAGGAAAATTGTGGGTTTAACCCAAACTGAGAAAATCTGCAAAATACTTCTGATGTTTCTATTTATCCAGTCTCAAATATTGTCCTTTAAACTTCATTGATTCCTTCTTGTGCAAACACTATAGGTGGAGCTTATGTGTGGGTTTTTACTTCTGTTTTTATTCGGTGTAAAAATGTTTGCCTTCATCCATTATTTATCAAAGCTAGTATCTTTTGCCTTTGCATCAAGTTTGTCAAGATACATTTTCATATCAATAACTCGTGAGTTAACCGTTGGACATAATGACTAATCCAGTTTATGTGTACAAATAGGTGACATGGAATAGAGAGATTATAATAATTGAGTTTCTTTTCTTTCCATCTCTTTTTTCTCTCTCTTTTAGGTCATTTATTTTTATACTATTATATATACAATGATGTACAAATAGCATTACTCATAATTCACAAATAATAATAATTTATCGAATCCTTAAGGGATAACATCAATTGGTACATGCGAGAAATTGAGCATTTGCACCTAGAAGATATAAAACAAATATTAGTCATTCTAGAAGCGAGTTTTCAAGAAATTGCTCAAGTTTTATCAAATAAATGGGAAAAAAATTATCTTATGATTCTTGTCATCAAATAATATTCATTATATATCTCTTTCAAACAAGTATAAAAATCGAAACATTAAACACCAAATTAAGTATAATATTGACATTTGATAGCACTAGTCAGAGTTGAACGTCCATTACATGTTATTTTGAAATACTTAATTTGTAAGAACTGCCAAAATAATATTTGATACCAATTTGTTTGGAGGATTTAATGAGTCTCAAATGAACAAAAGAAAATAAATTTATGATAGAAATTTAAGAGAATAAAATTGTACTTTCAAAACTTAATTTCTATGATTCAAATTTTTTGTGAGGATGAAATACTATAAACGAGTAACATTTTTATATTACATTTGATACATAAGAATTAATTACAAATAAGTGAATTTAAACACCCATTAAAATTCTGATATACATGAATAGAAAAAAAATTATCTATAATAACACTAGATTCAGGTAGATCAAGATTCATTGAATCTAGATTAATGTGAATGTCAATTAATATCGTGTTAATTAATAATACGAAATTCATATATGAGAATGATTTTGTAGTATTTATTATATATTGAAAAATAAAAAGTAATTTACTATTGGAATAATCGATCCCCTATTTGAGCCACATTAAAATTTTCATTTTCATTCCTCTACTTATTTTCAATCATACATTTTTCAATAAAATAATATTTTCTATCACATCAATAACTTTTCCTTCTTTTTCAACCACACATTCTCTATCAATCTACTATTCTAAAATACATTTTTTCAAAATAATGTGGCTCAAACACACCCTGAATATTTGTTTATGAAATTGAAGCGTGTGCGATTTGGGATACATCTAGGAATATACAAAGAGNTCTACTTATTTTCAATCATACATTTTTCAATAAAATAATATTTTCTATCACATCAATAACTTTTCCTTCTTTTTCAACCACACATTCTCTATCAATCTACTATTCTAAAATACATTTTTCCAAAATAATGTGGCTTGTCACGCGAAAATATATTTCGAATGTGAACTCCTGCAAGTATACAGATCGTTGACAAGTAATAAAATAGACTTTTTAAGTCTAAGTATCGTTTTTACATAGATTTATTTGATTTGATTTATATTTACTACGACTTTAATTGAAACAATAATATTAACTANATTGACCTTTTCTGGATATCTTTGGTATAGATCTACGGTTTTCAACCAGTTTTATTTTTATATACCCAAAGGTATATTGGTTTTCAGAGAAGTATCTCTCTTTCACACCTTGAGTGGATTTCCTAGTTCCATTTTGGACAATCATAAGAGATGAACATCTTAGCAATTGTATTCTACGTGAATTTATATCCATTTACATGTAAAATTTACTTCATGGTGTTAATGGGTCATTAAATCTTATTCCAAATGTTCCCTGGCCCTTGATTTTGTTGGTTAACTTCTTTATTGAAGAAAAAAAGTGTTGCTCTTTAGAAATTTAAATACATTGTATTGACAC